AACGAAAGCAGGATTATAATGTTGATTTAGCAAGAAGCCACAGCAAATACTGACTTGATAATATTCTCAATATTAAACACATTTAATTCAATGCTTAATTAAATTCATGTTGTATGCATTAGAACTATGAAATATTCAATACAGAGTAACAGTGGCACTGTTTTCTGGGTAGCAGTGGGATGTTTACCGTAAGAATGCCATGTATGTCCCATCCACCTCTACTGTTATCTGCACGCTTATGGTCAATACACGCTCAAAAAACCGTAATTTTTAGGAAGGGAATTTATTGTGTTATATATGAATTCAAATAAGATTTAATTTCCCTTAGGCATACACCTCTGAAACCAAGGGGAGTAAATTTTTTTAAAAAGTTTTTTCTCCTAGAGCAGGAATTTTTAAGGTCAAAACTAAGCTCACAGTAGTTTTCAGATTCTGGCAGAGATTTTCTTGCATAAAACTAGCTGGCTCAAACTCAGTATGGCTAATAACAGAAGAAGAAATCTAAGGCGGGCAGGCAGAACACCTAGAAAAGGTTTTGAGGTTATTATGATGTAATCTTTATGATTATAAATGCTACTGTATGTATCTATGGCTATTTTCACATGTCATTTTGCACAAATAGCCAAGAACTTTCACAACTAAATATATCACTACAAAAATGTGTTTTCCATAAAGAGGTGCACCACAAATAAATACTGCTTTGGTAAACTCCCTCAGGGAACCCAGCACAGCAGCTCTGCGGTAAAAGCAGAGGACATTACATCAGAAGCCGGAGCAGTGGGTTCACTCAAGGACACCTCACACTCCCTACTACCACAGTCAGCCAGACCTAGCCCAAACTGTCCTATTTGGGGGTGGTCCAGGTGCAGAGCCAGGAACCCACCTGTCCCTCCTCAAACATGCATTGAGGACAATGCTCACAGCCCTGCAGGCCTGGTGAAGAACCACCGTCACTCCAGCAGGTCCAACATCTCCCTTTACCAACCACCACCTTAATGCATGCTCAGGAAGAGTCGTCTTTAAGGGCCACCACAAGCAGCCTGACTTTATGTAACAGAAGGAAAGATTTTTGCCTCCGTGTTGTCCCTCCTCCCCTCTTCCACAAGGCAAAGCAGCCTTAGGAATGCCAGAGGTCATCTTCTAGACAAAAAGTGACAATTTCAGACCTTTTCAAAGATACTGCTTCAGGCTGTCAGCTGACAACACTGCTCTGCCCTTGCTTTCAGACCTCTTCTTGAGGCCATGCATGTCAAGGATAATCCTGTTAAGTAACAGTTATAATCCTAAATTTAAAAGCAACAGCCTTGGGACACACTGATAATAGTAATCCTGCATTTTCTTCCTTCCTCTTTCCTTTGCTCAAATCACATAGAGAAATTATGTCAATTAAAAATCTGCATTAAGCCAGACTATAATAAATTACAACCGATTTTCTAGAATACTGCTACACTTGTAAGAATAAGCATTTCTTTGCTATTTTTGTGGATGCATAAATGCGCATCTATCCTGTGGGAAAATTCAGGGATGTTAATTCACCCTAAAGCCCTTACAGGCCCAGCTTTAGAGATGCAAAAATTGGCATCTGCATTTAATACCTGATCATTTTCAACCAGAAGGTTAGCCTGGTGTCAGATCTCAGCTGAAAGGCAGCAAGAGGCTCTGTGGAAATGGTCTCAGGCCACGGATGGCGCCAATATGCCAGATGGTAGGAGCCATGTCCCTTGCTTGATTTCATTGCAAAACAGCTTAGGAGCTCGCCAAGGACGGCGCATTTTGTCCCAACACAGAAATGGTAATAGGCAGCCAAGTGCTAGACTTTATGTCTATGGGGCATTCCCAATCCCTGGCTACAGGGATCAAGACCATATGAAACCAATCATTTGGCCATGGCATGTTTTCTCATTTACCAATTCAAGTTTTCCAGTAATTTTGCCTATTAACAAGAAAGATTTATTCTGCCCTGCCATCATGTGCCAGAGCTGCAAGCGCAGCTTTAGATATTAACGTACAAATTCTCAAAAATTTCAGCAGGCTAAATCCTGCCCTGCACTGAACTTGACATTTTCTATGCTTTGTCAAAGGTTACTTTCTCACGAAACCACATCAGAATCTTTTAATTTGTTTAGTCTTAATCTGGGAGCACAACACAGAAGGGATTTTTTTTTTTGAACTTGTAATTAAGTGATCTGAATCAAAGTGCCTAAAGATGCAGTATTATAACAAAATTAAAATCGCTCAAGCCAGTACTGCCATGGTCCTTTCCTTTTCCCCTCCGTGCACAACACTGCTCCTTCTCTTGCATAAGAGATGCAGTGCTTGTCTGTCCCCACACCAAGTCATTTCAGGAAAATAGAAACTTCTGCAAATGACATTTTTGGTTTGAGGATCATTTTTGTTCTGTTTCATTCCCCAAGTCAGATTGCCATGAGTATCAGAGCTGCCAAGCGGGCAAGGCAGGAACAGCTCCAGACCCAGTTCAGTTCAACTAATACAGTCACAAAGTGCATGACGCTACAAGATGTCCCATACGTACTGAGTTGCCTTTAGTTTTTCCAACTGATTGACATTTTGATCATACTGCATTGTAAAGGCACGTGTGAGTTTGTAACAGAAACCACTCCAATTACCCTATTGTTAGTCAACTCCTAGTCAGTAAGACTGGAAACTAACCCACACAGTAGACACTACCTTCTAATATTTATTATTGCATGTTAATGAACAATTGTAGGGTTTTTTTCCAAAATGTCCTCCCATTTTGCTAAGTCTAACTACTCAGGTACATTTGTCTAATTGCTTCTTAGGAAATTATAATCGATTAATCCAAAAAGCTAAGCAGACAGACGAAACCAGTAATCTGAAAAAAACCCCAAAACTTTAAGAAATATTTCCATGGAAACCCCCATCACCACTACCACCAGAACCTATTGAGCAAGAGATCTAATTCATCTCTTTTGGCTAATCAAAGTGTTAATTTAGAAATCTTCCAGAAACTCTAGATTTAGTTAAAAATACCAAGCTTAGTAAGTTTCCTCCTAAGAAAATGCACCTTTAGAACATCCTTGCTTTAGAAATTTGGAGGTTTATGGACATAACATTGAAAGCAAAATGCAACTTCAAAAGCAATCAGTGGGCCCTCTAGTGTTTCAAAAGGACAGCAGTTATTCCAACAGGAAACAAGCGTTAAAATCTATCTAGCAAAAAGTTACTAGGACTCAGTGTTACTGTACTTATTGTCCAAATAGCCCATAGAAATGGTCATCTAACAAACCCCACCTTAATCAACACTTGCCTGCTGGACAAGTAAGTTTGCACTTCTAACCTAGCAAGAAGTCTCAATTTCTAGAATTCAATACATCAGAAATACTCTTCACACTTTCCCTCCCCATAGAAATTACAAAACCCTATTAAATTTCCCACTAAATGAATTTCCTATTTGTTAATAACTTTTTTTTCTACTTAAGAATGAAAAAGTTCTAAAATATTGAGTAGCAATTTGAATAGACCCAGCCCACTGATAATTAAGCCTTTACTTAGGCAAAACTCCTAGCACTGGTAGTTCAGGAATGAATTTTAATAGGTTTTTTTCAGAAATCCATCTATCTTTGCAGTCTTCACCTTTATGTTTGCATGAGACTTCCCCAAATCAGTATCTCCAGACTTTTTTTTTAATTCACAAAGTCCCTTCTGATCATGTCTCTGACTACTTGTAAAAGTCCTGTCAATTACTTGAAATGTCTAAGCAAACATCACCATTACTGAGAACATCTGTATCGCAGCACAACATTATAGATCTTGTTAAAAAGATAAATTCTTGATGAAGAAGAGTCTAACAGCTTTTGACCAGATGATTCCAGATACTCTCAAACTCCTCTACAGTATAACTAATAAAATTATTTCACCCGAGTGCTTTCAAATAATTCCTTATTAGTCCTCCAGGATGTCAATAGGCAGAGTAGCATTTGCATAAACATATTTCTCAGTCCTTCCAGTTTTAGTAAGATATGTTCATTGAACCTCAAACTCTAGAAGAGCCTGACAGTTCACCAGGAAGCCTCGTGTCTACATTAGCAAAGTCCATTTTCAACGGAGCTCTACCTCAGGTCACTCACAGTCAGAAGCAGCAGCCGAAGGTTGACTAGCTCACACTGTTGTCTCACTAGTAAGCTGGCTCCTTTTACATCTGCAGAAAAAAGTGGGGCACTGATTTTTACTTATGAAGCCAGAAAATGCCAAACTACTTACTACCCCACCTCTGTTGAAGAGTAACGAAGTGTGCTATTGTAATTGATACCAACAAAGTCACTTAGAAGAAAAAGGTGAAGACCTGACATTATGCACAAAAGGACCTGTACATTTCTTTAACTCTAAAGGAAGCATTTTGAAATATGATTTTAAAATCCTTCTCAACCCACTGAACATTTAAAAAAAAAAAAAAATTGTTCTCCAGAAGCAAAGACCTTTTCTACAGCTATAATGCTGGCCAACCAAAAGATAATGATACCGCACTCCTACTTGTTAGTACTTTAGTTTCTGTAATCTTCCAAAGCACTCTAACACAATGTATACAGAGGACACACAAGCCACTTGAAATGTGCAAAATACAGTTCTATTCAAACAGGAGTACCCAAGAGTTCAGGCACAAAACATTGTCAGAAAACAAGACCGATGCTGAATCAGCACAATAATAGTGGTATTTAGATGCAAACTACTGCAGTACCAGGTGGAGTGAAAATAATAAGAACTTAATATGATTTATTTTTAGCAGTTACATACGTGCTGGGGAGATGTCAAAAAGGATATCAGGAAAATAATTCAAGTACCCTCTAGAACTGGGATAATAAAGTAAGTAAAAAAAAAAAAATCATTTCATGAAATAGTACCATCCTGACCTTCAATGGAGCCATTTAAACCATGCCAAGACAAAGGAGTAAAGCAGGTGACTAAGGTACTGGAAACCCAAGAAATGAAG